AAAAAAAAAAAAAAAAAAAAAAAAAAAAAAATCACATTAACCTTAAGAAACTTCAGATGATTCACCTAGGTGTTCTGTGTTTATAATATTAATAACAAATTCTCAAATTACGGACTTACTGATATGCTAAAATACTTTATTATACATATATTAACTCATTTTTATATTCTTAGCATAAAACTAGATTGCTTCTAGGAAGTAAAATATTGTGGTTAAAAGTCCAATTCTGGAGTGATCACAGTACTTAGATTGAAATCCTGTCTCCATTTCCTACAACTATATGACTTTAGGTAAGTTATTTAATCATTCTAAAAAAAAGAAGATAATGATCTACCACTTTCCATACTGATTGTCAGAATCAAATTAGAGAGTCGATGGAATAAACCTGTCGCTAATGCCACACTATGTTACCAAAAAATGCACTAGAGTTAACACACTAACACAGTAGAACTTCCATGGCTGACCACCTCCTTAGGTTGACCTAATATTCATAGACAGGACATGTACCACACACACCTATCAGTACAGTAGGCCTAGTTCCTTATGTTGAACATCTCCATAGATTCAGTTTTTTCCAGTCTCTGGAGTGGTCAACTTACAGAGGTTCTCCTATATTTTATTTTAGATTCTGGCAATCACATTCTTAAGATATTTTGGCCTATATTTTTCGTGTGCTTTATTGGGTGTTATTTGGTCTGTGCAAACTTTAAAAAGGAATGGTATTATTCTGATTCATAAAAATCAAACAGGTATTATTTATATATCTTAATATCTTCCATTCAGTTTATACTTATTACAGCTTACTTTCTAGAAACTTTTCAAGACCTGTGGCTCCAGTTTCAGTAAGATAATTAACTTATTTGGCTCTGTCACAGATAATATGCATATGTAAGGGTTCTCTTCACACTTACTTAGGGAACTCGGAATCCTGAGGCCTACAGGCCTGAAAACCACAACTAAATAAAAACTACAGATAATCTAATGTAACCCACCTGACATAGCTAAAGAGAGAAGTGGTTGGCTGTGTATAGTGGCTCAGGCCTATAATCCCAGCAAGACCCTGTCTTTATACAAAATTTAAAAAATCAGCTGGGCATAGTGGAGAATGCTTATAGTCCCAGCTACTCAGAAGGCTGAAGCAGGAGGATTACTTGTGTTGGGAAGTGTGAGATTGTACTGACACCACTGCACTTTAGCCTTGGGCAATAGATAAGATCTTTTCTCATAAAACAAAACAAAACAAACAAAAAGAAACGGAAAGCCACCAGTGGCTACCTTTAAATATTTAAAGTTATGTTACTTATCCCTGCTTAAGATAACTTCAGAGAAACTTCCAATTCTAGTCCAGATGGAAGAACAGGGACTAGGATTTACTCTCCAGGATTAAAACAAGTAAAAAGACAAACAAAATAAAATTTAAAAAAACAATGACTTCCAGATATAGAACATCTGGGCCGGCCTGAAGTCTTCCTTTCAGGAAGGTTTTTTTTTTT